AAAGGACGCTTTCTTTTTTTTTCTTTTTTTAAATTTCATTTATTTATTTATTTTTGGCTGTGCTGGGTCTTTTCTGTGCGTGGGCTTTCTCTAGTTGTGGCGAGCGGGGGCCACTCTTCATCGCGGTGCGCGGGCCTCTCACTGTCGCGGCCTCGCTTGTTGCGGAGCACAAGCTCCAGATGCGCAGGCTCAGTAGTTGTGGCTCACGGGCCTAGTTGCTCCGCGGCATGTGGGATCTTCCCAGACCAGGGCTCGAACCTGTGTCCCCTGCATTGGCAGGCAGACTCTCAACCACTGCGCCACCAGGGAAGCCCTCATCGTTAGTTTTTATGCAAATACAAGGTATGTGGAAACATACAAATTAGGATCTGGTGAGCTCAGTTCTGGACTGAAAATACAGTTCCTGTAAAACAAAAATTAGCCATTCACTTACTTCAGTCCAGGTATACTGAACCTCTGAAGAAGCACGGGACCTTGTATGTTCACAGATATTTTGTGTATTCCCAATTTACTTGCTTGCCAGTTTCGTCCATTCTCAAGAGATAACTCCTCTTTTGGTTGAGGGGTGAGGGTCAGGGCATGGCAGCATCCATTTTAAGTCATCCTCTGCAGTGCATGTCTTCGCTCATCTAAAATTATTTTAGTTCTGTTTTACTGAGTTGTAGGTTATCTGTGACAAATAAGTGCTGTTTACTAACAACACATTTGTTTTAATAATACATCCCCTTATTTACCGATTAGATTCTTGAATGCAGGATTTTTATCTGTTCTTTGTTATTACCTAGATAACAAGTACATTCCTGATATCCCCTGTTTGCTCAAATACTGTATTTATTGATCATACACTCCAAAGAGTGTCTTAACTTTGTAATAGTGACATGTAATTTTTTGTCAGTTTGCATTTTGAGATGCTTTATACTTATCAAGCAGTGTATATTGTATACAAACTGTTGCCTTTATGAATGAAGAAATTGAAATTTGCATGACTTGAGAGAGGGCATTAAAAACAACTCATGTAGCAAGCGTGGGATAAAATGACCTCCGGTGTTTTATGGTTCTATAAAGTTGGTTTGCCTAAAACCAAAAAATAAGTTATCAGAGCTAATACAGTAAAACATGGATCGACTAAAATCCTGGGAGATTAAATTATTAAGAATAGTTTAGGGTGTCCCTTCCTCCCCTTTTCATAATCAGTTGTGGATAGAAATCTTAAACATATTCTCTATTTACTCACCTTTTAAACAGAGTGTATAGAAAATAATTTAAACCGTGCTTGATGACTGTGAGTCATCATTAAAGCATTAGTTATTTTACTGTGTCAGTAGTTCTCAAGTTTGACTGCTTTTAATATATTTTGACCTTGTGCTGTATATCAACAACTACTTGAGAATATTCTGACATTTTGGTTCTTTGAAGAATGCCACTTTGTATTAAGTATATGTTAAGTCTTCTTACAGTGTGGTTTATGAGCAAAGTCATGGATATGTTAACTGAAATTTCTATTTCCTTTTAAATACACATTTACAGAATCTTGCATGAATATTACATATATATTTTAGTTAATAAGTATCCGGTTTTAGTTAATAACAGTGCACTATAGTGTATTATATTATCATGCATTAAAGTTTAATAAGTAAGTTCTTAACAGTAGACTGAAAATCTATACTTTATAATGAGTGTCATCTAGTTATCCTTTTTTTTTGGGGGGGGCGGTACACGGGTCTCTCACTGTTGTGGCCTCTCCCGCTGCGGAGCACAGGCTCCGGACGTGCAGGCTCAGCGGCCACGGCTCACGGGCCCAGCCGCTCCGCGGCATGTGGGATCTTCCCCGACCGGGGCACGAACCCGCGTCCCCTGCATCGGCAGGCGGACTCCCAACCACTGCGCCACCAGGGAAACCCGTTTTTTTTTTTTTTTGCGGTATGCGGGCCTCTCACTGTTGTGGCCTCTCCCGCTGCGGAGCACAGGCTCCAGACGCGCAGGCTCAGCGGCCACGGCCCACCGGCCCAGCCGGTCCGCGGCACGTGGGATCCTCCCAGACCGGGGCACAAACCCGCGTCCCCTGCATCAGCAGGCGGACTCTCAACCACTGTGCCACCAGGGAAGGCCTAGTTATTCTTTTTTAGAATGAGTTTTTTCTGCTTTCTAAAAGAGTCATTTTGATTTAAAGCATGAAGCATTTTTCCCCTGAAGAATTTGTACTCTGTGTTTTGAAATGTATTTGACAGAGAGGAATCAATTTCCGGCAGCTTTTTTCTCTTCACTCACTTGAATTTCTTCCATACAAGCCAGTAATGTTTATTATACCAGCATTGTATAAAACTAGAATTATAGGTATCTTTATTCTAATGGGTCATCCGTTAGCACTTACTAGAAGCTCTATATTATAGAGCCCCATTAATTATAGGTTAATGGTGTTGATGTATAAAACTAATGTCTATATTTTAAATCAGATGTTTCTGTATTTAGTATCAAAGGCAGGCCTTCAATCTGAAATAATCTCTTTCACTACTCCCTAGTTCCCTTTCTGCTTACCTAAGTTCTGAATTTGTTGAATACAATCAGTAGTGGAGAGATGTTCTTTTAAAAAATCAAATCAATATGTTTATTATATACCATTACTATTAAAACATTTCCCAAATTTATTTTTATCTAAGTGGAAAATTTTAAATCAATGTGTGTATTGAATTTAATAAAAATGATACTGTTTTGATTTAGGCCGAACTGGAGGCTTTTGAAAACAGACTGAAGGGTCGTCGGAAGAAGAACAGGAAGAGAGATGAAGTGGCAGTTGAGCTAACGCTGTGGCAAAAATATAAATATTATCTCTTTTCAGTGTGTGCAGTTGTGGTTTTAGTGTTTGCATGGTACATAGCCCATGGTGTGGATTAAAAAATGTTTGATCTCTTAATATACCTCAGATTAGATTTCGATAAGTTGTTAAATTTGGAATATTAGAAAGTGAATGTTGTAGAACATAATATATATTCACATTCATCTCTCTATTCCAGCAGTTGTTAGAAGGACAGAATGTTAATCTTTATCTTAATTAGCATACTAGAAGTGGCAATAGTAAAAGCATGACTGAAATTGTAAAATATTTCATAAGGCATAGCCAGTGGCAGGGTAACATGTTAGTTGTTCATTGTGCTTCCTTCTATTAACATAACTGTTTCATTTACTATTTAGAGCCATCTTTTTTTTTTTTGGCGAAATTAAGATGAAACTGAGCCGTATGTGTGGTAAGAGGAATATTTCACAATGTTATGGTTACTTATTAAAAGGTACTTTTCCTGATCATGTAACTTTGTACTTTTTAAAATATATATATCCTCTAAAAGACCTCATAAATTATAACATGAAGCTATATAATTAGACTTCATAAATTGGTTTATTAGTGAGGAATTTTTATCAGTTATTGAAGTAAAATTTTATGTAGTATGTCACTCAGAGGAAAATATAATTGTTTTCAAAAAATGCCAGGCTAGATTCCTCACATGTGGCTATGTCTTATATAAGAAACTTTTAACTGAAGTTGACATGTTTTGTAAAACTTGTATGTGTTTTTTCAAAGTAATAATAAAAAGTAATAATAAAAGAAAAACTAATATTTATGAGCAATATATGCTGAGCACAGGCTTACGAGCTTTATGTACTTTATTCTCATTTCTTCTTATCACAATCGTATAAGTAGATTTTTTTCAGCTGGAAATAATAAGTTCTTATGAAAACAAGCTGATAGAGAAATATCAGTAAGCCAAATCTGTTTGAATTGTAAGTCATTTTAAATGGTTTTGCTATTTAATTTTTGTATAATTAATGTTTTCATTAAAATTTTTCATACCAAATTTTTAATCTAGAATATTTACTATTTAAAATATTCAGGAACCTATAATTTTATCAAGGTATAAAACTCTAATGCTTGATGTAAAACATAGTAATTGATAGGTACTAAAAAGTGGTAGAAGTGGTAAAAGTACAAAGAAGGATTTTAAAAGTTTGCTTTCTTTAACTCAATTTCTTTAATGTTATGTTCCTTAGTCAAGTATTAGCTGGTATCTAAAGTGGAAGGGCAGTCATTCCTTTCTTTATGGTATTTTTGTTTTAATTTTAGATTTCTTTTTTACCTTTCCCAATGTTAGAGTTACTGGGTTGCTGTTTCAGAAGCTCTTAACTAGAGCTGTTACACTCAAGTCATTACCTTACTGTACTCTAAAATGAATGTTAGATGTCCATGTGGTAAGCTCTTTTCATGTATTTCAAAATCTTGGCCTAATAAACAAACCTGAAGCCTAGTTCATGCCTCTTTGTTGGGCTTGTGTTCTTGCTAAGTTTTCTTTCTGATTTGTGCGGAAGAATCTAGTGAGCGGAAGAGGGAGATTGAGTGAATGATAAATGAAGCAGTTTGCTGTTTTTTATTTGCTTGGCTAGTAGCTCAGAGCTTAATTAATTAACCCAAAGTTGCCCAACTATTCATTCATTTATTCAATCAACATATGCCTTTACTGCGTGCCAGGAACCTTCTAGGTACTGAAGATAATGGTGATCCTCTCAGGGACCTGTTAAGGAGTGGAAGAGAGCGGGCAGGAAATAGATACACGATAAAATGAACGTGATTTCATGTATGATAAGTGATGTTTAAAAATGAGAGAAATGTTACAGAAAGTGATGAAAGAGGGGGCTGAAAAGGCACTGGCTAGTTTAGATTGGGAAAGTCCCTCTGAGATGGGGACATTTGAAGATCTGAGGGAAAAGTCTGTGAGGGAGAGAAATCAGTGAGTACAAAGTCACTAAGTTGGGAGATACTTGGCAGAGCTGAGGAACAGACAGAAGGGCTGGTGTGGCTGGAGCTGAGTGAGTGACGGGGAGAGAGCGCCCAGGGCCAGTTCACAGTGTGCTTGATAGACCATGCTGTGGAATGGGGGTTTATTTCTGGTTGCAGTGGGCAGCACTGGAAGGTTTTAAGTGGGGAATAGTTGTTGGTCATTGTTCTTTTAAGATAACTGTCTTCTGGCTGCTGTGTGGAGAGAAGACTCTAAGGAATCAAAGGTAAAAGCAGGGAGGGAGATGAGTGGGAGGCAGCCCAGCATGGAGGTGCTTGCTGGTGGTGCTTCGACTCAGGGATTTGGGCCTGCAGTTCCCTCGGTTCCCCACTGCCCTGAAGGAGTGGCCTGAGGACGCTGTGGAAACTGCTGCACAATGAGTGGAGTGGGGAGGAAATAAATAATTTCTTTAAGGTCAAAATGAAATGAAATTTTGTTTAAATACTTAACGTTAATTTGTTCTGAGGGAAATAAAGCGGTACATGTTGACCTTTTTGCTGCAGTCTAAGCCAATTAGAGAAGGAATGGAAGAGTTACCAAATAGCTACTCACAATGACATAGACAAAAATGTGAATGTGATGGCCTTATTTTCCTATTTACTGTGTATCATAAAAGTTTATTAGCTGTTTGAAATTTGTGGAATATTTATATTGAAATCTTTTAGTATTTTTCAGTTTAAACACTTTTAGGGATTGACCAACACCTAAGTGCTTGTATTTCAATTAATTTCATTATTCAAGTCTAAATTAAAATCAAATAATTTCAAATAAATTGGTGTAATCTTTGCTGAAATTGCCAAAGGAACTTTACTGAAGCAAAACATTAAAAATGTTTGCTTTTTGCAAAGAAGTCTGATGCTTGAGCTTCATGGCTATGAATGTTAAAGTTTTTAAAAAGAGGTAAGTGTTTGTGTTAGTGTTTATAGATGACCTATAAAAAATTTGGGCTCTTTGTGTTATTTCAGATGACCCAGGGGACTCCTCCGGTGGCTAGGTGTGTCCATCCCTGGGTACTGGGAAGTGAGACAGAAGTCTGAGCTCTGGAGCTAGAGCTGATGTAAGGTAGCTGTATCTCTTTGGTCTGTGGAAGCTGCCTCTTGATTCAGTGACAGTGATTAGACCACTGTCTCAGCCTTAGACCTTAGGGTCTACCTCTGAGGTTAGCAAGCTTCATAGAAGGAGGGAAAAGCAGAGTACTGGTTACTACGTCCTAGAAGAGATGACAATTTGGCAGGAGTGAGTGGAGCTGGGAACCCCTCTGCTTTCCAGAAACTCTTACGGGTGTCCTTTCTGGGAAACCCTTTTCATGTGTTTCAGAATCTTGGTCTGTTGAGCAAGTTTAGGTCTGTTGTTTGCTGATCTGCTGTTCTTGCTAAGTTTTATTTGCAGTTAATGCAAGGGCATGTATTTCAGTGGTGCTGTGAAGAATTACCCATATACAGCCTAAAATTCCACAATCCAGATTCATTCGAGTTAAAACGCCTCTAGGGAGACATTCCCTAATTACCACCCTCATCTGGTGTTCTCTATCTTCATACAATATTTTTTTCCTCATAGCGCTACATAGGACCTAACACTGTATTCTGTATTTGTTTATTGTCTGTCTCCTTCACTAGAAGGAAAGCTCCGTGAGGGCAGGGGTGCAGTTTTGTTTACTGCTGTAACTCCAGAGTGGGGAACCATGCTGAGCCACATAGCAGATGCTGGTATTAGTTTCCATGGGCTGCCGTGACAAATTATCACAAAGAAAGTGGCTTGAAGCAACAGAAATTTATTCTGTCACAGTTCAGGAGGCCAGGTGTCCAAAATCATGTCAGCAGGGTTGGTTCCTTCTGGAGACTCAGAAGGAAACCGTTCCATGCCTCTCTCTTAGCTTCTGGTTTTGGGCGTCAATCCTTGGCGTTTCTTGGTTCATAGATACATCACTCCAGTGTTGCCTCCATTTCCACTTGGCCGCCTTCTCCGTGTCTGTGTGTGTCCTTTTCTGTCTCTGAGGAGAACACACTCTGTAGTTAAGGCCCACCCTACTCCAGTATAATCTCATTTTACCTAATTGCACCTGCAAAGACCCTCTTTCCAAATAAGGAAAGTTACATATTTAGTTTCGGTTGGACATTAATTTTGGGGAGGGACACAATTCAACCCACTGCAGTGCTCAATAACTATTTGATGGATGAATGAGTGAATTCACAGTGTCATTCTAGGCCGTAAACTTTTGGGGCATTTTCCATTACTGTCTTAATAATTGTACAGGAGGTAGGGGTTAAGAGGTCAGTCTAGTTCCAGATTGCTTGGGCTCCAATTCTGGTTCTGCCCTTTTCTAGTTGTGAGATTTAACTTTTGTAAGACGTACTTTCCTCCTCATCTGTAAAATAGAAACAAGGAGAAATAATAGTGTTCAGTAAGTGTTAGCTATTATTATGTGTCTACAACTATTTTAAAGCACTTTTTATATTTACTTAACCCCCATGACAGCCTATGCAGCGGGGCTGTTATTATTCTCATTTTACAACAAAGGAAACTAGGTTTGTTTCAAGAATTAAAAACTGAAAAAGTATACATGTCACTTTGTGACGTGCCTGGCACATCGTGCTTAGAAATTCTTAGCTATAATAATACAGATAAATGTGACTTAACATCATAACTTCTCTTACAAATTGATTCACAGGTCAGAAAAGCAAATTGTAAACTGAGGCACCTTGGTTTTTGCTCACGTGGTCATTGTCATTGAGGGGGTACTATCCCTAGGAACACTAGGCTGGATGTGGGCAGTCAAATGAAAGCCCTGGAGGTGGGGGGGAGCTAGCACTACGTGTGTGAGGGTGCTAGAAATAAAATTCCTTTGAAACTTTTTATGGGCCGGTTCTTATTACTTCTCCCAGTGACTAGTATATTAGAGTAAGGGATTCATGACCCAGAAATATTATATACAGCAAACAGGATGTCTGCACGGCCTACTTTTATCATATACAGAATGTTTCAGTGTGCTGGAATATATTACTTCAGATATGGGCATGTTATTTTCCCTTCTTAGTTTAAGTAAACTCTCCTTCCCTGCAATAGGTAATTGTCCAATTCGCCTGTTTCTTGCTCTATTCTTTAATATAATATATATATATGTATATATATAATTTTAAAGGCTTTGTGTCTTTAGATCTCAGCTAAAAACATCACATTCTGACTCCCTGAAATATAGTCCTATATTACTTGTAAGTATTTTTCCATAGTTTACATATTTGGGTTTGTTTAATATATTTATTTATCTTTAAATTATTTATTTATTTAGTCTGCACCGGGTCTTTGTTGCGGCATGGGGACTTCTTAGTTACGGCATGCATGTGGGATCTAGTTCCCTGACTAGGGTTTGAACCCGGGTCTGCTGCATTGGGAATGAGGAGTCTTACCCACTGGACCACCAGGGAAGTCCCAGTTTAATGTATTCATTATGCCAGGAAGTTCTGTGAGGGCAGAAACTCAATTTTGTTCATCTGGCAGCTAATAAATCCTAGATGAGTGTTAAGCCGTGGGATAGCATATCTATTTTAGCCACTGCTTTCCTCTTCTTATCCTGGGATGCTGGCTGCTTCTCTAAGATATCTCTTTCTTTTTCTCAAATTGCCATTATTTGTAGTCCTAAGCACTAAAATTGGTCTGTACGTGAAATGTGACTAAAGGTTAATCTGTAAAATCACCCTTTCCAGAAGTATACTCACTACCTTGAAGTTAATTTTCCCATAAATCTCATTAAGGTTTATGTTCTTTCTTTTAAACCATCTAATTAGTTAGATAGATGTTTGAAATACTGGACAATAAAAATTTCAAAAGGCCATAAATGTTTCTTTTTGTAAAATGAAATGTAAGAAACTAGATGATGGTTGTCACTTTAAGTTGAAAAGCAAATGTGGCAAATTTTTTAAAAAGGAATAATTCAAATAGGTCATTGAAGATTACTGTGAGCCCTCTGCATATTCAAATTAGTTCACATATGTTATGAGATTTCTAACATTTGTTATGATTCCTTACATTATAGAAGTCTGTTACAAAGAATATAAAAATACCTGTTTGCCCTCATGCAAAGACTACCTCAAATATTTACTCTGATGCCATTGGTGCCTAGAACTGGTTGGGTTTTCTTGCTAAAAGGAAGTTTAAAGAATGCTGTTTCACCAGTGCAATCAGCTTTAGCTCTCTGAAGAACAGTACTGTATAGTAGTGAAAGAGAAGACTTATTTACCCTAGCTATCTCAAATTCACTGATTTAGCTACTTAAATTTCACAGTTCCTTTAACACCTCCACTAGAGGGCAGAAAGTGGAAGAGAAAGGAGGTGAATAGCAATTCATACTTGGCGTCAGAATGCCTGTAGAAACCTTGAGGATTGAATCCAACCCTTGTTTTACAGACTGAGTTAACTGGCCCAGAAAGACTAGGGGATTTGCTCAAGGTAGAGTTGGCAGACAAATCGCCTAGGCTTTTGATTTTCA